CAAATTTTTTTTTTTTTTTTTTTGTAAAATAGTGCAAATAAACATATAAATAATATATAAACATATAAATAATATAAAAATTAAATTAAATTAACTCGAATATTAAGTGGTTTGAAATAAAAATAAGGGCAAATATTTATTTATTTATATTTTTGGAACTGTACATGTATATAAAATGTAGTATAATTTTCGTTGTATTAAAAATACATAAAATAAAAATTTCCAGTATGGTAGTATTTCATTCCTTTCCAAAGAGCCAAAATGTACTTTCTAGATAAAAAATAGTGCAACTAAACAAGTAATATTAAATCAGTTAATCAGTTAAAAATAAGGTAAAATAAAATCACATAAAGAATGTATTTATTTGTTTTTAAAATGTCTCTCTGTATAAGCTAAGATCCAAAATGTCTCTGGTGCCTCGAGTCATTAACTAGGCAAACTGGTTTCATTAGCGTGTCTGTGTGAGCAGACGCTGATGCAGATGTTGGTAAACCGAGACATCGGCATATAGCTGTAGGTGTGAACAGACAGCTGTAGGTCTTAATATGATGACATCCTCCCCCGTTACATGTGTGTTTGTGTGTGTGTACAATATTTTTTGCTTTCCATGAATCAGTATTTTGCATTATCTCATAAAAATAAATGTATTTGTGTTGTCCTAATGACTGTAATAACATTTATTTATTTATTTATTTATTTATTTTCTTAACAGCTGTAATATGTCACCATGTGATGTTCTGAAGATTTTAATTTGTTTAGTTTGAGTCAACTGTCGTGATTTAAAGCATGCATTCTGCAGTTCTTATGGTGCAGTTCTTGTGATTAGTTTGGCTCTGTAAATCTGGTTCTTCTGTCCTTGCGTCTGCTCTCGTGGGAAGTATACAGTATCTAGTGTGCAGCATGCAGTAAGCAGTATGGTAGTATTTCATTCCAAAGAGCCAAACCTTTACTTTCTTTGGAGAAAATGACATCACGCATTGGGACCTTTCATGGACGGGGTGAAGGAGCCCCAGAGCGAGGCCGCTGTGCCCCAGCCGCAGGGGAGGCCCTGCCCCATCCAGCGCTCCAACACCGGTGAGCTCAGGTCTCTCAAAACAATGGCTGTTTAGCATATATTTATGGAGCTGAAATATTTAAGAAAGCAGAAGTTTGATGAGCTGAGTCTGAGAACAGCATACTAGCATACTACTGTGCTATACTACTTACCACTGTTTATGCATTTCTGTAGCATGTGTACTGTGTCAGAATATTGCCTGCAAATATAGTACTTTTTTTTTTGTATACACAGAATATCCCAATTTATTTATTTTTTTTATAATTTTATTTTAATTTTAGTTAAAGTTTTACATTTTTAAATAAACACATTTTGTTGTTTTGTCATTTTTATTAGTTCATTGGTTGAAATAAATGAAAATGAGATTGTTTTTTTAAATGCTTTTAATTTATTTAATTATAATAACCCTGAATATCATTATCCATTATCTTATTTTATATTTTATATAACCATAATATAATTCTATATTTTTTATTTTATTTTATTCTTGACAAATTATCTTCTAAAAGTTGAGAAAAGCATATTAATAATGCCAAAATAATCATAAATATTAACAAAATCATATCTGATGGTCATTGGCTAAATAAAGCAGCTAAAGTGGTGTGCTCAGTAGTATGCAAGTGTGCTATTCCAAATTAAGAGATAAAAAGGCTAAATTAAGAATAGCATACTGTGCTTACTATTATGTCAGAAAAAGTAAAATTAGTATGCTAATTCGAATTCAGCCTTATTGTGTACTGGCTAGATACTGTATGTTGCCTAGTATTTTTTATAAACAGTATGTATAACCACACACATATATATATA